TAATGTACCTTCCATAATTAACAAATGAATGTACTATGCTTCTGTTGATATTTCAGTTCTAACTTGCATTTTTCTTGTTCTCTTGGTGCTAACAAATCACCAAGAGTATTCACAAAGTCTAACATACTGTACTTGGGCTTACTTTCTTGGTCCTAAGCTCAACTACTAGGAATCTGAATGATGGTGAATTTAAATGTATCAATATATAGCAAACCTCGTGCATAAAGAGGTTTGTCTGTACATTTATAATTATATATTTATCTACTTTATCTTTCAAAATAGCTCAAAGCTCTTTAGAACAGGGGCCATCCTTTCTACTTTATAAAAGCATCATAGGGGCCGGCCCGGTGGCGCACTGGATAGTGCGCCGCTTGGGAAGCGTGGCGGCGCTCCCACCCAAGGGTTCGGATCCCATATACAGACTGGTTCCCGCTCACTGGCTGAGCGAGGCGCGGGAGCGACACCGAGGGTTGCAATCCCGTTGCCGGTCCCCGGTCCAGTACGGGGGCAACACTGAGGGTTGCGATCCGTTGCCGGACACGGAAAAAGACAAAAGACAAAAAAAAAAAAAAAGCATCATAGATCTTAGTATAGTGATAAAATAGCTGCTCTATAAATTACAAGAAAAAATATGCCTTTTTTTCCTTGCCTAACTCTTGGCTAAAACTTTAATAGTATTTTACTTTAATTTTTAATAATAAATTCAATCCTCATGGAAGTCGCTGCCTCTAAAATTTCCAGGCTAAGCAGCATAGCATGATTAAAATCATGAAGATTTCTCCAATTTCATCATTAAACCTCACATCCAATCTAAAATAAATACTTAAAAAAATAAGATGTACACCATAACCAAGTGGGATTTATGCTAGGAATGCAAGGTTGGTTCACATGTGAAAAATCAATCAACATAATATGCTATATTCATAGAATAAAGGGGATACAAAAAAAGATCACCTCAATAGATGCAGAAAAAGCATTTGACAAAAGTCAACATCCTTTCATGATAAAAACACTTGACAAACTAGTAATGGAAGAGAACTTCCTCAACCTGATAAACAGCATCTACAAAAACCCATAGTTGATATCATACTTAATAACTGAAGGCTTTCTTCCTAGAGCAGGAACAAGACAAGGAGGTCTGCTCTCACCACTTCTAGCTAGGGCAAGTAGCAAGAATAAGAAACAGAGGACATCCAGATTGGAAAAGAAGAAGTAAAACTCTTTGCACATGACATGATCTTGTATATAGTAAATCCTAAGGAATCTACCCCCCAAAAAAGAAAAACTATTACAGGTAATAAACTAGTTAAGCAAAGCAGCAATGAACAATCTGAAGACAAAATTAAGAAAACAATTCTACTTATAATAGTATCAGAAAGAGTATAATACTTAGAAATGACTTTAACAAAAGAAATGCAAGGCTCATACCCTGAAAACTACACAGCACTGTTGAAGGAAGTGAAAAAAAGACAAATGAAAGACATCCTGTGTTCACAGATTTGAGAAATTATTAAGATGGAAATATTCCCCAAATTGATCTACAGATACTATGCAATCCAGTCAAAATTCTATCTGCCATCATGTTTACAGAAATTTACAAGCTGATGCTAAACTTCATATGGAAATGCAAGGGACCCAAAATAGCCAAAAGAATATTGAAAAAAAAAAGAACAAAATTGGATGATTCACACTACTTGATTTCAAAACTTACTACAAAGCTACAGTAATTAAAATTGTGTGGTATTGGCATAAGGATAGACATATATATCAATGAAACAATTCAAAGTACGGAATTAAACCCATACATCTATGGCTGATCGATTTTTGCAAGGGTGGCACTATAACTCAATGGGGAAAAAATAGTTTTGTCAACAAATGATAGCAGGAAACTCGATAGCCATGTGCAAAAGAATGAAGTTGGACCTCTACCTCACACCATGTACAAATATTAACTCAAAATGGATCCAGGATCTAAATGTAAGAGCTAAACTAGAAAACTCTTAGAAGAAAACATAGGTATTAAACATTCATGACCTTGGACTAGATGCTGGTTTCTTATATTGACACCTAAGGCACAAGCAAAGGAAAAATAGATAAACTGGACTCATCAAAATTTAAAACTTCTGTGCATCAAAAGACACCACCAAGGAAGTAAAAAGACAATGTAACGAATGGGAGATATACTTGCAAATCACCTATTGAATAAGGGTCTTATATCTAGAATATATAAAGAACTTTTAAAAATTACAATAAAAAAAACAAATAACCCAGTTAAAAATGGGCAAAGGATTTAAATAGACATTTCTCCAAAGAAGATACACAAATTGCCAGCAAGAACATAAAAAGATGTTCACCATCATTAGTCTTTAGGGAAATATAAATAGGGAAATGTAAATCAAAACCACAATGAGATACTACTTCACATTTAGTGGGATGGCTATAATAGAAAAAAAAAAAGGACAATAACAAAATTGGCAAGCATGTGGAGAAACTGGAACCCTCTTACATTGCTGGCAGGACTGTAAAATGGTGCAGTGGCTATGCAAGTTCTGCAGTTCTTCAAAAAGCTAAACATTAAATTAACGTATGATTCAGCAATTCTACTCTTAAGTACTGTATGCCCAAATGAATTGAAAGCAGAGACTTGAACTGACACTTGTACTCCAATGTCCATTGCGGCACTATTCACAATAGCTAAAAGGTAGAAATAGTCCAAAAGTGCATCAACAGATTGTTTGGTTTGGTTTTACTTAAATAAAAACTTTATTCAGACATAATTCACATGACATACATTTCACCCATGTAAAGTGTATAATTCAGTAGTTTTTAGTATATTCATGGACTTGTACAAACATAACCATAATGTCATTTTAGAACATTTTCATTCCTCCTAAGAGAAACCCTGTACTCATTAGTAATCACTCTAACAGATATTTTTTTTTTAAATGTGTTATGTACATACAATAGATTATTATTCATCCATAAAAGGAATGAAGCTGTGATACATCCTATAACATGGATGAACCTTGAGGACATTATGGTAAGTGAAATAAGCCAGATGGAAAATAAGCACTGTATGAACTTACACGAGGTACTTAGAACAGGCAAATTCACAGAGACAGAAAAAAGATTAGAGGATTGGCGAGTTGTATTAATCCGTTTTCTATTGCTTACAACAGAACACATAAACTGGGTAATTTATAAAGAAACAAAAGTTATTTCTTACAGTTTTGGAGGTTGGGAAGTCCAAGGTCAAGGGGCACACCTGGTGAGGACCTTTTTTGGGGGATGGGGATTCTCTGCAGAGTCCTGAGATGGCGCAGAGTACCACAGGGTGAGAGAGCTGAGCGTGTTAACGTGCTTACTTGCTCTCCTTATAAAGCCACTAGTGCCACTCCCATGATAAGCCATTTATCCATTAGCCCATTAATCCATGAATGGATTAATCCACTCACGACAGCAGAGCTCTCACAATCCAATCATTTCCCAAAGGCCCCATCTTTCAAATATCATAGTCGGATTTCCTAACCTCTTAACACTGTCACAATGGGGATCAAGCTTCAGTATAAGTTTTGGAGGGACATTCAAACTAAAGTAGAAGTTATTACTTAATAACTACAGAGCTTCTGTCTGGGGTGATAAAAAAGTTTTAGAAATAGTGGTTGTACAACATTGTAAATGTAATTAATGCCACTGAACTGTATACTTAGAAAGGAAAATTTTATGTTATATTTTATCACAACTTTTAAAAATTATATACCGAAAAGCATAAAAATCGTACATTCTAAATGAGTAAATTGTATGGTATGCAAATTATGTCTCAATAATGCTGTTTTTATAAAAGGGAGAAAGAAATGAGTTCTCAAGCTATGAAAAGACATGGAGGAATCTTAAATTCATATTGCTAAATGAAAGGAACCAGTCTGAAAAAGCTACATACTTTGTGAATCCAACTTTACGACAATCGGGAAAATGCAAAACCACAGAGACAGTAGAATGACCAGTGGTTGCCAGGGGCTCAGGTGGAGGAGAAAAGGATAAATAGGTTGGGCAGAGAGCATTTTTAAGGAAGTGAAACTATATGATGCTGGAATGGTGGACACATGACATTATACATTTTTCAAAAGCCATAGAACTGTATGAGAGTAAATCCTAATGTAAAATATGAACTTTGGTTAATAATAATGTATCAATATTGGTTCACCAATTGTAACAAATGTATCACACTAATGCAAGATGTTAATAATAGGGAAAATCATGTGTGGGTGGAGAGGAGTATGTGGGAACTCTACTTTCTGCATAATTTTTCTGTAAACCTAAAACTGCCCTAAAAAAAGGTCTATTTTTAAAATGCATACTTAACAAAGAGACTGTACTGAACTGGATCCTCTTCTCATGATTCATAAGACTATTCACTTTAAACACAAATTATAATTTTACATTAGATAGAGAGGAAGCGATGATTCTTTTACCATAGAATCAGGCTGCAGAATATCAGGCACTTCTGAATCATCTCAGTATTCTATGTATCCTTTCCCCATTTTACCTCCTCTTCCACCCCCAACAGAATTATCTTATGACCTAAATTTTTGTATTCACATAACTACTTTCACCTCATCTTTGAAGATTCTATAGTCTTTAGAATACTTCCTTAATTTATGACTAAATTCCAGTCTAATTATAATTATGAATTACAGTGAAATTATTATACCAAATTGCCATGCCACCTGTGTTATTCACTTAAGTTGTTTTCTAAGACGTATCAGTTTATCAGGCACCTAAGTTTGTTTGTTTTACACACCCTTTTGGGGGGGGTGGAATATTGTTCTCTAAAGCACTAGAGTCAACACAGAAGATTAAATTGGAAACCATAACTGTCCTAGAGGAAAGACAGCTAGTACATTTAAGAAAAACTTTTCCCCAGTTCCTGGTTTAAAATGATCCCCCCCCCCAACTCCTAATCTTTATTGGCACACTGTACAAACTTCTTTAACTGTTACCTTGGTCTTTTCCACCTTCATCTATGTGTTGAAAATCTTTTAGTGTCTGAAGATTATGGAAGCCCTCTCTGCAATGATGAATGACTTTCTTTGATCCATTCTTGATGAGATAATCCATCAGTGTAAGGGATTTATACACATGGCGCCAGTTTTTCCCATGGTCATTGAGTCTCTGCCATAGCATATTCATAATCTCTGAGAGAGAAGTTGTGTTGAAAGTCAAGTCACTGATATCTAACATCAGAGAGCTAGAGGGACCCCATGGGTCATTAGAGGTTGCTTCCCTGACTTTTATTTCAGCATCTGAGTAATTTTTCATGAAGTTTTTCACTTGCCTCCTGAAGGCCATAGGTAAGATAAACTCAAAGGTGAAAGGGGGGATGACAGCAATGGAACGGGAGTTTATGCGATTGGTCTATAAATCTCTTGACAGGTATCTGGTCCCCAGTTCTGCTGCTCCCAAACACAAATGATTAATCTCCATGTTGACAAAGTATTAATTTCCTGCAAGGAAAGCACAAATGTGTAATTAAATTTTTTAAAAAAATATCTACGAAGAACAAGTCAGTCAGAAAAATCTAGGTTTAGTTTCTAAATCAGCCTCTCACATTAGCAAAAATTGAGAGTATCATATACATGTTCCTAGGATGGGTACAAAAAAATCCCTCATAAGGGATTGGCTTACATTAGTTAAAGAAATATAAGTGGTCTTTCTAGTCCTAAAAGTTCTTTCAGAAAATATCATTCAACCTGTTTGGTCAGAAATATATTGATTATGAAGCATTACATGTACAGTAACAAGTTAGTATAAAAAAGTGGAACTTACACTCTGACATCTCTTGCTTAAGATATGTTGTCATGTATAAAAAATATTATGTCCTAAAAGTATGGTGATGAAAACTGAATCTTAGAATCACCAAGTGATCCTATGATTATATTCTTTTTAAACTACAAGTGATTAGAATCAGACCTAAATTTTGTCTGCTTTCTTGTTAATCTAAAAGGGAGGAGGGCTAACTCTCAGGACAAATAGTTGCACCTCAGTGGACTCCACAGCTAACTCATGGTACCCTAAAACCAATATTTTAATCCAGATAATGTTGGTAAATTCAAGGGAAAGGTTACTTTCTTTGTCTTTAGAAAAAGAAATATGATTTTAGAATTAAATGGTGTCAATAGTAAGATTCAAATAGTGTAAGGAAAGCACACCACCAGCGCCTCGGGGCCCGCCCGGGGACCTGAGGCATTCAGGGACTGGACCCCCCTCCCACAACCAGGCACACCATTAGCACCGAGGAGCATACCAAAAACATCACCTCCATGTTGGTGGCCCTCCACAACCATCACAGTAACCACCACTGCCACGAAACTGGCTAGACGCCACAACCACCACACAGATGGTCCACCAGCCACTGGAGTGCATTGACACGAGGGGAGTCACCAGCAGACACCAAAGAAAAGAAGAGGATATCTCTCTCCACAAATCTCATTCCAGAGTGACAGAAGCAGCACCTGCTCTATGATCATATTGGGGGACCTGAACACACCTCTCAGCATTGGACAGATCATGTAGGTAACAAATCAATAGAGTAACCATTACTCTTTCAGAGGGAGAGAAGACATCTAGGGTTATCCGTGGTGGGAGGGGGGAGGGGGATAGGGAGAGATTGGACAAGGGACATAAAGAATATGTACAATTTGTAACAATATATATATATTAGTAATATTGATTTGATCAACATATGTCAACACTGAACCCCCAAAATAGGTATAATCAATTATGATTCAATAAAAATTTTAAAAAATCACACAAAAACAAAAAAACAGAACTCTATCATACAAAAATTACCACTGTTAACCTCTTGGTGTATATCCCTTGGTATATATCTGTAATAAATATGCTTACAGATACGGATAGATATAAAAATAAATAATTAGATAAAATAAAATAAATTTTTACTACATTTTTAAATCAATAAAAAATATTTTAAAAAAAAATAGCGTAAGGATTTCCCTGAAACCTGGAGTAATCAGCATGTGTAAGATCTCAAAACAAGTACACACACAAGAGAGGCCCATTTAGGTTAACACAAAAATATATTAGACACACAAACTTAAAAGGGGTATGCAGCCCAAACTTTACATGACGTGTGTGAATTATCAATTCACAGTTTATATGAAACCATTCTCTTCCTCTCTTTCATTGCTTTGCATTAAGGTGAGTCAGTTTGCAATTTCCCTAGTGATTCACCACTGATGGTCACCAAGATAACGTACCAAATTTATTTCAAGCCCTGCCAAGCATCCAGACCCAACAAAGCCTAGATAATCTATAATCAGATTTCACTAGAGAAACCTACACACATACAAAAGAAAAAATGCTAAAATCCATAACGAATGTGTTTGTTATGTCTAATATTGTTTCCCTTCCTTGACTTTCTCAAGTACTAGCTCAGGCTTGATTAATTTCTGTGTGTACTGAAATAAGACATATTTTCAGAAGCATCCTAAATGAACTATCACTTATTTTTTACAAAATAAGAAAAGGTAATTAGCCATTTTTGTTAAAATACAACACAGCCTTAAATAAACAAGATAAAAAGTGTATCAGTTTAATTAAGATTTCTCAGAAAGAGACTATCATCAAACCTAGCAAGAAAAAGAGAAGTTGTGTTTCTACAACTTTCTGATTCTCTCATTTGCACTTCAAATGCAAGCATTTTTATGAGTCCCTCCCGGTGCAAAAACCTGATTCATAATGTTTCAATAAGCTATCAAAATTTTCAATCATGTGGGTTTCCTTTTTCTATTGTCCTTTTTCCCCTCAACCAAACTCACTCAACAATGCACAATGACACAGAAATGCACTGTGACATTGGCTTGGAGCAAATATTGATCTATTTCTTCACAAGTCCATTTTTTTAAAAAACCCTATTAGAATTATAGTTTGCTGGAATTTAACAACAGCTGTTAAAAAAAACATTTTTCTGTTTTGGATAGCTATCTATATATATTTTGGAGGGACAATCCTAAGTTTTAGGTTTTCCTAGATTCTCCAACCTGCATTTAAAAAAATTTTTTTAAAATATTTTCTGAAATGAATTTTCTGCCCCAGAAAAATATCAGAATAATAGCCTTCTAATCCAATATAATAGTTTAAAATGGATGTACTTGACACCAAACCAAAATCAAATACACTCTCAACTATTAGAAAAACCACAAGGAAAAAAGTCTGGATAAGTGAATTAATATCACTTAACATTAAAATGACATAAACTTCACACTGTGACATGAACATAGAATATGTAAGACACAATTCTACTACTGATGTCTTTTCAGACTAACAAGGTGTTCAATTAATTGGTGTTAGTTGTAAATTATATGGAGATTTATTTTTTTTAGACACCTGATTACATGTGAATGCTCAGTTTACTCAGACCATCAAATAACCTTGAGATTGCAATTATAGTAATGTGACATCTGAGACAAAATTAGTGCCCAAGAGGGTTAATATCCACATCAGAATCTCAGTTTTCTGGCTACCCAAATCACTATAATATTTAGAAATAGAGAGAAGAGTGAGGTTTTCATGTGACAAATCTGTGTTATTTCCTCTGACAGGACTTCATCAACCTTGCTAACTACTTAGGTCTCCCTATCACTCTCTTTACAGAACCAGTTTATTTCTTTCATGGCCCTTACAATGATCTGTACTTACATCTGTCACTTGCTCATTACCTTCCTTCACAACCAGATTAGAAACTCCTTGACAGCAGGGACCTTGACCATCTTATCACTGTAACCCTATGCCTAACAGCTACCTAGCAATAGTAGGTACTTAAGAAACATATGTTAAAATGAATAACCAAATGATTGAATGATTCCGCTTGGGATACACCTGCACTGATTCTGAATTACAAATATGACATTTTTAAAGTAAAATCTAGCTCTTGTAATTGTCAAGTAAAATTCTAGATTTTTAACAAATATTTTCAAACCAATCAAAAAATATTTCTTGAGGCCTGGCCCCGTGGCTCACTCGGGAGAGTGAGGCACTGGTAGTGCCGAGGCCAAGGGTTCGGATCCTATGTAGGGATGGCCAGTGCGCTCACTGGCTGTGCGGTGCGGACGACACCATGCCGAGGGTTGCAATCCCCTTATCAGTCCAAAAAAAAATTTTTTTGAGTACCTACCACTTACAGCTTTGTGGAGAAGCTGTATAAAACATGATTCCTACGTTCAAAAAATTTACCCTTTAGTTAAGTAGCTTTCTCCCTCAAATAATTCCAAAGCAAACAAATGATGATGTAGAAAAGACCTCCTAATTTTCTTTTTAGATCTGCCCACTTCCACAATGTTGTCCCCCCTCCACCACCTCCTCTAATCCAAATCCTTTGAGGCCAGGTTAGTTGTGGAATTCAATTTTTTTTTTGCCCCAGGGTTTTGAAGGGTAGTTCAGTGCCAATACCATATATTACATAATACCCACAGTAAGGTGTGGGACCACTCTAAGCAATCAAACACACTAACATGCCTCCAAGAAAAATACGTTAAATATTTGGAATAAAGACTATAAATGGCCTCACCTCAGTTAAAGTCAGGTCATACCACCAAAGAAGTCAGGGGGAAAAAGTGGGTTTTCAAAACTTTTTGGACTTCAGAATTGAGAATAAGGGATTGAGGAGCTGAAATGACTTTATCCAGAGACTTAGGACAATAATGGCAATATCATTTAAGAGGCTGGGTACCCAGAGGCATCTCTGCAAAGATGCATTTAGGTAGTGCTATGAAGAGACAGCAGCTCTTGAGTTTGTTCAGGTTCTACCTACAGACATTTTGACTTAGGAGGAAATAAGCTTGGCCAAGATTGTTATGGGAGAATGATTACAGAGAATACCATGGCATTAGGAGCTGTTACCGTTTTGACGGAAAGAACAATACAAGCGGCAGAGAAACTAACTTTTTTGAGCCCCATCTGTGTGTTCATTAATTTATTCAACTAATAATTTTCCAGAGTTTACCAGGTGGCAAGCTCCACTCTATAAAACATTAAAACAGGTGCACAAGACACACTCCCTGCCTCCTGGAGTAAATGGCTACTTTATTGCGTGTTCACAACGTCCTCACACCTGGGCATTCACATGCCTCATCGCACTACTTTAGGATACAAAGGCACATATCTGAGGTTTTATTCTGCTGTCTTCTAATTGAGGCTTAACAACTCTGAGCCTCGGTTCCCTCAACAGTAGCAGAAGGAACAACCACCAGACAGGGCTGTGAAAAGAAAGAAACGAGATGCTTTGGAAAGAATTTTGATAATGGAGGGTCGAGGCTAAGAGAGAATAAGCT